GGGCATGTTAGCGTGTGCCTGTAGTCCCAGCTTCTCGGGGGCTAAGATAGGAGAATCGTTTGAACCCGAAAGGCGGAGGTTGCAGTGAGCCGAGATCACACAACTGCACTCCAGCCTGGGTAACAAGAGCAAAAGTCTATCTCAAAAAAATAATAATAATACTGGGAACTCCATACCTGCCTCTCAATAGTGAAGCAAGAATTACATGAACTAATAGTTTTGAAAGAATGTTCATATCTGTAAAGGACTCAGTTCAGAAGGGAGAAAGGAACACTCACTGATCCCTGCTAAGGGCCAGGCCCCTCACTTATTGAGCCTTGTGTAATCTTCCCTTCACTCTTCCCAGTAATTGTGCGATCCCCACTGTGCAGATGAGGAAACTGAGGCTCAGAGATGACCAGTCACATGGCTGGCAGCAGAGAGAGCTAGGATTCGAAGCCAAAAAACCCCACAGTATCAGAGATCCGTGAGGTCTGTCTGTTCTGTGCCTGTGTACCTAGTTGTACTTCTTTGTTCTAGCTGCAGAACCCAAGAAGGGAGCAGAGATTTGATAATATATATTAATCTTTTTTATCTTAATAACACAAGATACTTTATGATTTTCATAAATCATAAGGTCTTTAACGAAGACAACGTAGGGGACTTCTCTGTTACACAAGAAAAGTTGTACTACCTTGAAGCTGAAACTTTTTAATGAGATCCTGATTTTCTTCCATCATTAAGAAAGTATTGAAATTAGTCATTTATATTCATGTATCACATGGTATGTTACATGGAATTTCCAAATGTCTCTTCCTGGTTAAACCTTTTGAGAACTCTACAATTATTTATTATTACTCCCATTTCACAGGTGTAGAAGCTGAGGTTCTACAATAGGGCATGCAGCTGGCTCAAGGCAGGCTGGAGGCCGCACTTCGGACTCCTGCAGCCCATGCTCCTCCATCCTCCCGGCAGCTCCCTAAAAAAGCCTGCTGTGGTCCTAAAAGTAACATGCCCAGCAGGCGCCCGTGCATGAGAGTGGAGGGCAGGACAGCTGGAAGGTTTTCCAAAGACAGATTACCTAAGATCACTTGTGCAGCATCTGTCGGTTTCCAGTTGAAGAAACTGAGGCTCAGGGGTTAAGTAACTCCTACGGTCTGTAAGATGTCAAGTGTAGGAGTTAGGACTTGAGTGCAGACAGCCTGACTGCAGGACCTATACCTCAGCCACCAGAGAAAGCGCCTCTCACATGTTGGTTTCAATGTTGTAGTTTGTGTTCGCAAAGTGTTTGTGACTCTTCCTCTTCCCCAGGTCTTATAATACCACACTGCTGCCAGTGCTCTAAATACAGCTCAGTCTTATCACTGGTTTGCTTGAAATTCTTTACGGTGTCCCCATTGGCCCTCTGGTTAAATTCCAAGCATCAAAGATGTATTCATTTTACAAATAGAAAAATATAACATGTGCAATTTTTCTTAAACTCCAAACTGTAACATGCAAGATCTGGCCTGTGTCTAATTTGCACTGTCCTCATACTGCCCCCGCACCAAACTATCCCCTAACCAGCACATGCTGCTTCCTCTGCTTGGAATTGTTCTACCTTCCCTTCACTGCAAGATTTAGCACTGCGTCTGCCGGTAAACAACCTTCCCAGCCTAATTTAGCTTCACCTCCCATGAGGCCCTGCAGAAACCTGTCATAATCTGCCACAACATTTATCACGCTGCATTGCAAACTGACTTGTCATTTCCCCACAAGTCAGTGAGCGTCCTACGAATACATCTTTCATCTTTGTGCCCCCAGTGCCTATCTCAGTACCTGGCACACAGCAGACTCTCAACAAATGTTCATTAGTTGAATGAACAGAGGAAGAGCACACGACTTGGCCAGAATAACAGAACTGGGTTTTGAATTTGCAGTCCCTCCATTTGTTTTGCTCACTCACCAAGTATTATTACCTGTGTTTCTATCATTCTATTTTAATCATGCATTTGTAACTCAGACTAAAAGTGACATAACATTTTATTTAGGTTTAGTTTCTTTAATTCAAATTTTGAATCTGAAATATACTCAGAAGATTTTTTTTCAAATTTAAGTACAAAACAGTGTGCCTTCCAGCTGCTCAGCTCCCTTCCCTTGAAAAACCGAGGTTGCTAGTTTCCTGTGTCCCCTTCCTGGAATGTATAATGCATATATATATATAAAAGCAAATACAGATAGATACATACACAGATAGATATTATATGCAAATTTTAGCATATTATACACATTGTTCAGAGTCTTTTTGTTTGCTTGCTTGTTTTTTTAGATAGAGTCTCACTCTGCCATCCAGGCTGGAGTACAGTGACACAATCTCGGCTCACTGCACCCTCCGCCTCCTGGATTCAAGTGATTCTCCTGCCTCAGCCTCCCAAGTAGCTGGGACTACAGGCACGCACCACCACACCTGGCTAATTTTTGTATTTTTAGTAGAGACAGGATTTCACCATGTTAGCCAGGCTGGTCTCGAACTCCTGACCTCAGGTGATCCATTCACCTGGGCCTCCTAAAGTGCTGGGATTATAGGTGTGAGCCACCACACTTGGCCCAGAGTCCTTTTTTTTACTTACTACATCTTGCAGTTCTATGTTAATTCATAAAGAGATGCTTGTGTTTTTTTAATGGTTGTATAATATTCCATTGTATAAGCTAATAATAATTCATTTAACTAGTCCCCAGTTGATGGGACATTTAGGCTGTTTCCAATCTGTTGCAGTGAATGAATGACTTTAGATAGAAGTTATTTCACATGTGTATTCTTTTTTTTTTTTTTTTTTTTAAGATGAAGTCTTGCTCTGTCTCCTAGGCTGGAGTGTAGTGGTGCGATCTCAGCTAACTGCAACTTCCACCTCCTGGATTCAAGCAATTCTCCTGCCTCAGCCTCCTGAGTAGCTGGGATTACAGGCACCCGCCACCACGCCTGGCTAATTTTTGTATTTTTAGTAGAGACAGGGTTTGATCATGTTGGCCAGGCTGGTCTCAAGCTCCTGACCTCGTGATCTGCCTGCCCCAGCCTCCCAAAGTGCTGGGATTACAGGCATGAGCCACGGCGCCTGGCCACATGTGTATTCTTATATCTAAAAAATGAAAGTTCTTTTGACACTTTTCTAAGCAACATACAATTGAATTGACAGAGTTTCAAATTAAGACTATTTCTTTTTCTAACAAAGACTCACCCGAAAATATTTTTCCAAATCCCTGAGTTTCTCTGTCTCCCTCTCCCATTCTGTGAAATATGAGAAGATATTCCTTGCCCCTGAAGGCTCGCGACTGTGTGTTGTTGACTCTGAAGGCTGATCCTTCTTGGCATTAAAATTCTTCCAAAAGAAGAAGCTTGACTCTCCCTTTCAATACAGTTTCTTGTTAGATTAGAAGGCTTTATAACCAGGGATTTTTTTTTTTTTTTTAAGTTTCCTTTTTCTAGTCTTCTAACTTAGCCTCTTACTCCTTTCCATTTTTCAGGGATGAGTTTTTTTTTGGTTTTTTTTTTTGTTTTTTTTTTTTTTACTGTACCAGGCCAAATTGACTTTGTCTCCAAAATAAGAAACCCAAAAGTAAGAAAATGATTTACTTGTGTTAGCTTTTTTATGTCAGTATATATCATCGGCTACAAACACTAAGCTAACAAGTGAGAAACAAACACACAAGGTAAAAAGCCACTAAGTGAGGGAACTCAGAGGGGAATTAAAGAGAGTGCCAAAGTAGCAGATAATTAGTTGTCTCTTCTCATAGCAGGATGCGACTTTGATAACAAAGTGGAAAGGTGACTGTCACTACAGAATGAGGGTAAACCCGAAGAGACTTCCAGGACCCTTCCTGCCAGATTCCAGCTCTAGCACCAAGATGAAGCTGTGGGTCGAGCAGGGAGCCAGGTGACAAAGGCCCAGATCTGGCCTCATCAGACACACGGGGCTTACTTGGGTCACCAACTCTACCTGCCACGCTACTTTGGCACTAAGGAGCTGCTCTTCCAACACTCTACAGAACAGCATGATTATCAGTCCTGGCTGCATATCAGACTCACCCTAGAAGCCTTAAAATGCCCCAGCTCCAGCAAGTCTGACTGTTATTATTTGGAGTTAGGTCCTGGGAATCATATTTTCTAAAACTTCTCAAATAATTCTAATGTGTAGCCAGGGTTGGTAACCACAGTTATGGAGATTTCTGGGACGAGGGATTGCAAGCAGCTTGTATGACTCAAGGAAAGAAGGAAGAAGGGATCAAATGTGATAAGAAACCAAATCTGTGGTAATCCCGAGGATGCCACAAAAGGCCTGTCTGACCCTTTGGCTCCCCTGCTTTCAATCCTGAATGTTTCCATTTGTTCTCAACATAAAGACCAAAGTCCTCAACCTGCCTTCAAGGCCATCGGGGTCTGACTCCTCCCAACCCTGTGCAGTTCTCTCAGTCTCTGCTCTAGTCACACCAGTCCTCCCTCAAGTCCTGGAGGTGCCCTGCTTCCTTCTGCTAGTTGGCCTCTGTCATGACATTCTTCTCCCCTTCCCCCAGTAAACTCCTACATACATTAGGCATTCAGCACTGCACAGATGAATGGGATAAGACCCCATGAAAATAAGCACAACCAGGAAGGTAACAGTGCTCAATGCTGCTGGTGCCAAGCCTGCCAGGCCCTGGCTTTTTTTTTTTTTTTAAGAGACAGGGTCTAGGGTCTTGCTATGTTGCCCAGGCTGGACTCAAACCCCTGGGAACTCCTGCTTTGAGTGATTCTCCCATCTCGGCCTCCCAAGTAGCTGAGGCTACAGGTGCATATTATTATGCCCAGCCGTGCCTGGCTCTTTAAGCCTGTTTAACGCTAGTAGCAGCCTTCCTGGAGACTTAAGTAAAAACAAGTTGATGAAGAAGGAGAAGAAACCGCTAAGAAAACTGGATTCCCTTTTACCAAAGGTCGTGGACCACAGAAGTGTTTAAAGTGTTGCATTTATTGTGTCTAATGTACTCTTTGGTGTGTGTTAACCCAATAGGAAAGCGGAAATGCACTGGACTCTCAGGAAGAAGCGGGGAGACCCCTCAGAGAAACTCATCACGACGGCCAAGGTAAAGACCACTGGTTGGGGCTTTATAATCTTATAACCATAATTGTCAGATGAACTTCGCACTGTTAAAAGATGTTAATGGGAGGCCAGGTATGGTGGCTTATGCCTGTAATCCCAGCAGTTTGTGAGGCCAAGGCGGGTGGATCACCTGAGGTCAGGAGTTTGAGGCCAACTTGACCAACATGGTGAAACCCTGTCTCTACTAAAAATACAAAATTAGCTGAGCGCAATGGCGCATGCCTGTAATCCCAGCTACTTAGGAGGCTGAGACAGGAGAATCACTTGAATCTGGGAGGCGGAGGTTTCAGTGAGCTGAGGTCACGCCATTGCACTCCAGCCTGAGCAACAAGAGCAAAACTCTGTTTCAAAAAAAAAAAAAAAAAAAAAGCGTAAAGTCACAGATTTTGGATTTCACCCGTAACTTGATCTTTTTCTGTTTATATCTTGTACCATGTCCTTCAGTTGGCATCCAATCAAAAGTAATTTATTTTTATACTAAATTGACAAGAGTTTGTTGTTTTGAGGCTATCAGACAACAGTATGTTATGGTAGCCTGATCCTGGGTTTGGCTAAGCTTCTAAGCAGGTTTCTGTTCACATGAGCTCTTACCACCTCCATTTTCAAGGCAGAGTGACACTAGCCAGGGAAACACGCTCCAGTCTTCAGATCTGCCATATCATAAATCACACATGCAGAATGTGAACACTGACAGGGCTCCAAGGGCTTGGCCAAGTGTGATGGAGGTTTTAGGCAGCACAGAACATGGCCAAACCTAAGCAATGACCAAGTCAGTCAAAACAGATTTCCTGTCTCATGACAGAAGAGCAGGCACCAGCTGGGTTGCATAAAGGTTATTCAGACCATCTTTAATGCAATGAAATATCACCACAGAAAATTAAAGAAGGCATTTTCCTGTCCTGAATGATAAACACTAATGTTCAGAAAGGATTTCAAGTATTTGAAGAAAAAAGAGGAAGGAGTGCCAAGGAATTTTTTTTAACTATTTAAGGATCAATTTTCAGTCAGACACAGTGGCTCATGCCTATAATCCCAACACTTTGGGAGGCCACGGCAGGAGGATCACTTGAGGTCAGGAGTCTGAGACCAGTCTAGGCAACACAGCAAGATCCTGTCTCTACAAAAAATTTTAAAAATTTCTGGGCATGGTGGCACATGCCTGTACTCCCATCACTCCAGAGGCTGAGGCGGGAGGATCATTGGAGCCCAGGAGTTTGAGGCTGCTGTGAGCTATGCTATGATCATGCCACTGCACTCCAACCTGGGCAAAAGAACCAGACCCTGTCTCCAAAAAAAAAACAGAGGATCAATTTTCTCCCCATAGGTCTTAAGGCTAATTACCAGGATTTTTTTCCTACTCTAAATTAAGTCGTGATCTTCATGGTTAATTATAAGCAGTGAACCAGCTGCCACCTGCAGTGAGAATATTATGAGTCTTAGACTTGGTGAGAACACTTCATCCAAGTTTCCACAAGAGAGGTCAAATCAGCAACCTCCAAATCAAAGTGGCTTTGAAAAATTGCTCTGGCTTTAAATACAAAACTTTCCACTTTGGGAAGCCGAGGAGGGCGGATCACAAGGTCAGGAGATTGAGACCATCCTGGCTAACACGGTGAAACCCCGTCTCTACTAAAAAATACAAAAAGTTAGCCGGGCGCAGTGGCGGGCACCTGTAGTCCCAGCTACTCGGGAGGCTGAGGCAGGAGAATGGCGTGAACCTGGGAGGCGGAACTTGCAGTAAGCCGAGATCGCGCCACTGCACTCCACCCCGGGGGACAGAGTGAGACTTCGTCTAAAAAAAAAAAAAAAAAAAAAAAAAAAAAAAGCATTTTTTGAATGCCTCCACTTTGCAGACATCCCATTTAAGGGAACTAGGAGACAGAGTTTTGGAAAGAGTATGTGATCAAGGAAACACATGGTGTATTTTGATAATTTGGTAACCCAAAGGCCATGCAAAGGCCTCACATACCCTAAACATACCTAAAATTCACACAGCTCCACGGTTCTGTCTCCAAAAGACCTACTGTCACCTGCAATGAAAGAGAGGCTCAGGCGGGCGTGGAGGCTCACGCCTGTAATCCCAGCACTTGGGAGGCCAAGGTGGGCGGATCACAAGGTCAGGAGTTCAAGACCAGCCTGGCCAACATGGTGAAACCCACTAAAAATACAAAAATTAGCTGGGTATGGTGGCACGCCCTGTAATCCCAGCTACTCGGGAGGCTGAGGCAGGAGAATCACTTGAATGCAGGAGGCGGGGTTGCAGTGAGCGAGATCTGGCACCACTGCACTCCAGCCTAGGCGACAGAGCAAGACTCCGTCTCAAAAAAAAAAAAAGAAAGAAAGAGGGGCTCAATCATGTCTAATTAAATCCCAGGCTGAATTATTAACTTTGCAGTCAGAAGAAGGAACACCAGAGCGAGGGGTCTTAAACTTTCATCCCGGCTCTGGGAGGCTGTGGTGCTTAGCTCTGAGAAGCCCATGTGCCTGCCTCCTTTGTGAAACAGCGGGGTGGCTCTCACTGAGGAGCGACTTGTCCAAGTCGCAGTAGTCCCAGTTCCTTTAGAAGGCCCTGGAAAGAAAGGGCATCTGAGGAGAAGTCTAGGAGCCTCACTGTTCCAAAACACAGAGAGAAAACAGGGGAGGGAGGTAGTGTTCTCCTGGCCTCCTGCACTCCTTGCTTTTTGGCATGGTTTTTATTAGATTAATCACTGACCTTAGTTTTAATCTACTTCCCTCAGCCTACTCCATGGCAATGACTAATTTCATGTTTATTATAAAGCATCTGGAACACATTTAGACAAATTTCTGTCCAGCTGATTTCAGTTCCTACATTGATAAGGGCCACTGGCAACCAGGGATTCTTTCCTTGTGGCCTTTCCACTCTGGAAGCAGAGGACATCACAATACTGATCTTAGCAGTACCGTTCCTTTCCATCAGTTCCCCACTGACTCCCCTTCCTCTCCCTTCCTGGGATCTGACTCATTAGGGTTCAGTCACATGAAAGACTTGTACTTTTATCACAGTGCTGGCTGAGAGAGGGGAAGACTTGCCAAAGGTGGAGACTTGGTATTACCACCCCAATGAGAAGTCGCAGGCCTAGATTTAGGGAAAACAATTCTGGCGTGTGGGTTGGGGAGAAAGCCACAGGGTGCTCTGCAGAGGCTGGGGTGACAGCATTCCCTGGGCTGGAGGTCTGCAGAGTCTACTGGCCATGGCGTGGTGAGCCTTCACCTTGGCCCTCGGAGGCTGTCCGCACTGTAATGGGAGCAGAGCGTTAGGCCTTCCAACACACGATGAGGATGGCAAGTGGTGGGAATGGTTCAAGGCACCTCTTCCACACCTGACCTGGAGGAGCGGGGCCTCAGCAGCGAATCCATCAAAGAAACGAGAGCAACTGATACTTCAAAGTTCCCAGGAGTTAGAAGAGGGGTTGAGGTGGTGGGGCGGGGTAAGAAAACTACAGGAAATGTGAGAGAAAAGAGAGCAATGAAAAGAAAAAGGAGATGCCAGACATGTTTCAACTCCAAGCTCCCATTTCCTCTTTCAAATGAACTGCTTCCCCACTGTGAACAGAATCAAGTATTTATGAAGGCATTTTTTGCATATTAATAGCTGCATATGGAGCATTGCCAGAGCTGCAGTCCTAAAGGTACGGTGCCCTTTTTAATGCAGGTCTTCAAACTCCTCAGAATTTGTATTCCTTCAGATTTATTTTCATTTCTGCCTCGTGGGCTCCTCCTAAGGCCCTTCATTGATTGGCTGAAACAGTTCGGGATACTTTCAGAGACAGAGTATTGCCTTATCTCGGTGGGTCAGCTGACATCAATCGCTGGAGGTTTTCTCCTTCCCCAAGGCCTCTTTGAGTAGAGGTCAAGAGGTTGGGTTAGTGACCGCACCTAAAAAGAGTATTAAAATTACAAATGAAAATTTCGGGAGGAAATATTAACATAGCTAGACAGTGGTAGGAGAAAGTAAACTGGAAAAAAAAGTAAAATAATTTCATTAACTTTACCATCTATACTCAGTAAAGATTACCTGCAATTTTAAAAGAAAATCATTGAGAACCATGATAAAAATAAGCAAAAGACAGAAACAATTCATATCCAAAAAGGAGTAATAGAAAATAACATTTAAAAAATCATTCATCTTGATTAACAATTTAAATGTATATTGAGGCAAACTATAAGTACCATCTTATATATCTGAAGATTTGTGCCTTCTCTTACTTTTCAATGGTAATAATTTGTGGCTGCCAGGGTTTTAAAACTGGTATACTTATACACTTCAGAACACACAGTTTTGATTCAATCAGAAGCAAAATGGCAATATAACTCATGAAACATGAAAAATATGAAATATCCATTGATTATGTGGCTTGACTTCCGTGAATTTATCTCAAGGAAATAATTCAAATAGAAAAAAAAAAAAGTCAGTGAAGATGTCCATTGCAGCATGTCTATAATAGAGAAAATTGAAACAGTCTAAGAGTGTAACATCAGAGAAATGATTTGGGGAGATTTGTAACTGTAGCCTCCAGCTGCATGACTCCTAAACCATAATTTAATTTGTACACTTGTCCTGCGAAGGCAGTCTGGTTCACAGGTAGGAAGGGGGTTTGTTTTGGGAAAGGGCTGTTATCACTTGTTTCAAAGCTAAACTGTAAACTAAGTTCCCATAAAGTTAGTTCGCTTCTACACCAGGAATGAGCAAGGACAACCTGGAGGTTAGAATCAAGATGGAGTTGGTTAGGCCAGATCTTCCACTGCCTCAGTTATAATTTGGTAATGGCAGTTTCTACCTTCGTGAAGGTTTAATTCAAGCATTAAAAAGGATGATTGTTCGCATTTGTGAAACTGAGATTTAATACTAATGTTTAACACAGGCAACATCATTGACATTTTGGACCAGGTAGTCTTTGTTTGGGAACTTTCTACTGATTGCGTGATGTTACAGTATCCTGGCCACTGCCTACTAGGATGCCA